TCAATTTTTTTTTTTTTTTTTTTTTTGTCTTTTTTTTTTAACCATTCCTTTGGTTGTTAAGTGTGCAGAGGAAAACTACTCTACCTCTTGCTCTGTTGGAAAGTAAATCTGGTGGTTTCCAGTCCCAAGCCACAGCACAGGGATCCAACATCTGTGCACTTGTTTTTACTAACTGCTGTTTCTCAATTTAAAACCTGATCATCTTCTTCCTTGTTGGCAAAGGTGCCTTGGAATTTGTGTCGCTGAGTCAGCAAGCCTTTCAGATTCGCCCGGTTTTTGTTGTTTGCATTTTATATCAAGATGGGAACTTAAACAAGTCATTCCTCCTAAGGATCTGGTGTCTCCATCAAGAAGGGGCAGTTTATGCCAGCTCTCCAGAGGGAAAAGGTGAGAGCCATGGGGACTTTCCCTTGCTGCCTTCTCTGTCTGGTTTTCAGTAGAGAAAATGGGGACTGGGGAGGGTGGAATTTGAGGTCTTCAGGATGAAAGTGAGCCCTGGGAGTTGATTGTTGATTGCCAACTGTCTCAAATAAATGCAAGTGGCTTCTTGCCAACTGCTTCTCCTGTTTAACCAGTCTTAGAGGATGTGTTCTACATGGTTCCCAATTTAAGACATACTTTATGGGATGAAGGAGACAGGTCACGATTCCTGCACTTGGACTGGAAATTTTCATTTCTTTTGTTGTGTAAACTTTTACTGGGTGCCAGACAAGATTTCTGCCTTCTGGGAGCTCATTGTTTGGTGGAAGAGACAGACACATCACAATCAGTGACAAGGTGTTGTCAGTGTGATATGTATTGAGCTGGGGGACTCACAGGGCCCAGCTGTGAGTCGGGAAGGCTTCTGGAAAGTGATAGATGAGGTGAGTCTTGAAGGAGTAGGACATAGAAAGTGGGGAGAAGTAGCCTGGCAGGGGAGTCAGCATTTGCAAAGTCATGAAGCTACCAGGGCATGGCTGAGGTAGCCCAGTGTGGCTGGAGCAACAAGGGCCAGTTGTGGGGTAGAGGAGGCTGGAAAGTAGGCAGACGGCTGAGCATAGAGGGTTTTGTGGGCCATGCCAACTCTAGGGAGTGCAAGGATTTTAGCAGAATTCCATGAGGGGCATTTTAAATGAATACACTGGCTGGAAACTATGGGGTTGACTAGATTGGATTATTCTTTGTGCTGGTCTCCTTACACCGTGTCAGCTTCTGGTAGGGGAGAGGTAGATGAGAGATTTTGCTGTTGTCAGTTGCTCGCAGTCTAGTTGAAGAGAGAAAATGGACATAGAGAACTGTGGAGGAATGCTGTGGAAGTTGGTAAGAGGGTGTTTCCTTTCCATTGGGTATACCAGGGCATCATGGAGGAATTTAAATTGGGCCTTGAAAGTATGGGTAAGGTGAGGGTTGGTTGCCAAGTGGGTGGGATTTGGGGTAGAGCAGAGGCATGGAGGTAGGCAAACCCTAGATATACACAGGAGTAGCCAGTCAGGGATTGGTTAGGGGGAGGTACAGATGAGAAGAGGGTATTGAAGGGAAACACCCTGGCTGGTATTGTTAATAGGGAGGGAAGGACCATATTGTGGTGAGCTTTGACTGTCAGCCTGAGAAATTTGAACTTTATTCTGGAGATCCAGGGGAGGGTGTGGAAGAGTCTGGATCAGAACTGTACTTCAGGAAGCTTAATCTTGCACCTTTGTCTGAGGTGGACTAGAAGAGACAAGTGTTGGAGGAAGCCGATTCTGGGCACTGCCGGGAAGTTCAGATGACTGAGAGTTTTGAGGGGCTCAGGCAGGGCATGAAGACAGATTTGGGTGATTGGCATGTGGGGTTTTTTTTTTTTTTTTTTTTTCTTTTTGTCTTTTTTCATGACCGGCAACGGATCACAACCCTCAGTGTCGCGCCCGTACCGGACCGGGACCGGCAACAGGATCGCAACCCTCGGTGTCGCGTCCGCACCTCGCTCAGCCAGTGAGCGGCCGGTCTGTATGTGGGATCCGAACCCTCGGCGGGAGCGCCGCAGCACTCACAAGCGGCGCACTGTAGCAGTGCGCCACCGGGCCGGCTCATGTGGGGGGTTATTGAAGCCATGAGAACAGATACAGTCGTCCAGGGGGAGTGTAGAGAGGGAAGAGAGGTAGTCCAGGGCCTGATGTCCTGATGTAGAGAAAGTTATCAATGCCTGGTGTGGTTCTAGGGAGCTATTGGGACTCCTGGGTGTGGTCCCGAGGGCAACAGCCTACTGTGTGTTGGGTGCAGTATTTCATCTTCAGGGCATATCCTTGGCAAGGCTAGCCAGAAGCATAAATTCTCTCACTTTTTGATAGAGATATGGATTCAAAGAGGTATTTCTCAACTTTGGGACAGTGGAAGCACAATGATAGGTGCTGAGGAGGTGGTAGGGCAGAGGTCTGCAAACTGGCCTGTGGGCCATATCCGGCCCACCACCTGTTCTTGTTCTTAAAGTTTTATTGGAACACAGCAACTCCTGGTAGTTTACGCATTGCTTATGGCTGTTTTTGCCCTACAGTAGCAGAGTTGAGTAGGTGCAACAGACTAAAATATTTGCTTGTTAACCCTTTATAGGAAAAGTTTGCCAGCCCCTGCCATAGAAAATAGTAGTAACCCAGAGAGTATATCCCAGCCACCACTGTGGTTCTGCTAGTTGTTGTTGGGTGGATAATGAATCTGGGTCAGGCCTTCAAATATTGCTGTTTTCTCTGGTTTTCAAGAGAAACTGGAAATTGGGAATTTTTTTTTTTTAAATAACGAATATTCCAATTTTTAAAGATCAGCTCAATTAAGAAAACAGAAACTGTGTAGGCCAAGCAAAGCGTGTCTGCAGGTCAGTTCGTCCAGCATCAGTTTACCCCTTCTGTCTTGGTATGGAAGCACAAGGACTCTGGAAACAGATTTGGGTTTACTTAGTCCCTCTGTATTCTTGGTCAAGTTAATTCTCTTCTTTTGCCTCACTTTTCTCAGTTATAAAATGGAGATAATAGCTGTCCCCCTGCCCTCCGCCACCCCCAGATTGTGAGGATTAAACAAGAACACTGATGAGGTAATCAGCACAGTACCTGGCGCATAGTAAGCCCTCGCATGGTGAAGCAAGGGTCTACCCTCTGACTATCTGCAGGTAGGTGGTCAGGTTGTTCTTCTCGAAGCAGGAGCCGCAGATTCTTGGTTCTGGAGGAGGTGGTTGCCCACAAGGAAACTGTAGGTTGCTAGGTCCTGTGCCCTGGCTACCATGTAGCTTTCTGATCTCCATTTGGAAGGTTCTTCTCTCACCTGCCCCTGGAAGGCTCAAGTCAGGCCCCAGCCAGAAGAGGAGTCATCATTTCCCTTCTAGCTACCCAGTTTGCAAGAGACAAATCATGTGTTAGTTTCCCACCATCTCTCAAGAAACCTAGTAAGGTCTGGATGGCACTGGCTTAAGCAATCTCTCTCAAGACAGAGGCCCATCTTGCATTGCTCATAAGACTACTATAGTAGTTAGGCACCCAGATGGTTTGTTCTTCACATTTTCTGGGAACTCAGGAACGGGGATGTGTCTGTTAGCAAGAAGGTGCCATGGTAAGTTGACAAGACCTATCACTAGTGAAACCCCACTGGGAAAGTAGCAGCCATTTAAAGTAATGATGGTAAGTAATGGAGGTTGTGGTGATTTGGGTTTAATTTATGATCTTTTAAAAGTGCCATTTTTTTTTTTTGTCTTTTTCGTGACCGGTAAGGGGATCGCAACCCTTGGTGTGGTGTTGCCCGCACCGCGCTCAGCCAGTGAGTGCACCGGCCACTCCTATATAGGATCTGAACCCGTGGTGGGAGCGTCGCTGCGCTCCCAGCGCTGCACTCTCCCAAGTGTGCCACAGGGCCGGCCCAAAAAGTGCCATTTTAAAGAGTTTTTTTTTTTCCTGGTAACAGAAATAATACTTTCTCACTTTAGAAAATATGGGCTGGTTGGTTAGCTCAGTTTGTTAGAGCATGTGTTGTAACACCAAGACAAGGTCGAGGGTTGGATTTCTTTACTGGCCAGCTGCAAAAAAAAGAAAAGAAAAGAAAAGAAAATGTAAAAAGTCCAGCTACATAAGGAAGTCAAACAAAAGGTCTTCTATAGTTTCTCCACTCAAAGACAGCTGTTGTTAACATTTTATTACATTTCTATTGAATTTTCTCTATGCTTCTCTTTGGTGCCTGGCCAGAATGGGAATCTGAACACTTGACCTTGGTGTTATAACACCACACTCTAACCAACTGAGCTAACTGGAGAGCCTCTATGCTTCTCTTTACATGGTAGAAATAGTGCTTTGGTGAATATCTTTATGTCAAAATTTTTCTGTAATCTTCTTGAGATAGAGTCTGAATTATTGGGTCAAAGGAAGTGAGCATTTTAAAAACTCTTGATACATATTACCAAATTGTTTTCCAGAAAGGTTTTACCCTTCCCAGCAGGTGAGTCTCAGTCTCCTGTTGCCAGCACTAAGTATTGAAATTAAGCTATTTTTACTAATTTGATAGGCAAAAAATAATAATCCATACTTTTTAATTTGTATTTTTTCAACAAAATTTCTAGTTAAGTGGAACATTTCTTTGATATGTTTGTGCTCAGTATTTGGCTTTCCCAGGTCTTTGGAAAGGCTTCCTGACAGAGCTCCAGGTAGCATCTATGCTCTAAGGAGTCTTTGAAGGTCGTGTTCTAGTTACAGGTCACTCTCGCAGTGTCAGCTGGTGGGGTGTGGAGTTTCAGGCCCATGCTTCTTGGAAGACTCCTGAACGAGCAGCAGTGTAAAAAATAACACTCGAAGAGTGAAGTGGCTTGCATTTGGAAAATTTAGCCCGTATTGGTGGAATCAGAGCTGGGAGGAGGTTCTAGAAGTCACCCGGTCTCACTGATTTCCAGTCCACACTCCTCAGATCTATTCTGCTGCAGAGGAGCTTCATTGGCCTCTTGAGGAGAACTAGGAGTGGAGGACACCTCTGTGTCAAAAAGAGCACCTCACAGTTCTGTGTTTACCTAGTATCACATCTGCAAAAGCCTGGAAAGCCCATCCAACTGCCTCAGTCATAGAACCTAGAGAAGGGGGAAGGTAACTGCCCCAAGGTTACCAAGTGGTCTTCATCTCCACTCAGGACAGCAGGAGGAGGACAGCTGCTGCAGTAGTGAGGAGCCATTACACGTTTAGGTAGACTGGAAGGGATGAAAAGGGTTTCTCACATGTTGGCAAGTTGAAAATAGGTCAGTGTGAGTACCAATTAGGAACCGCGGCTCAGTCTGGGTTGAGTCCCTGTTTAAAATTCATGCTGTGGGTCTTCTCCCAGAGGCCACAGCTGCAGTGCGATCCATTTATGTGGCTTACCCACCCCGAGGCAGGATGATTTCCACTCAGATTCTTGTGCCAGCTCAGAGCTTGTTCTAAAGCTTGTCTAAAGCTTCTGGGAGTAGAAAGACTCGTGGATACATGGAAGTTATTCCTTTCCTATGAAAGTGCCTCTCCAATCGTATAGCACCCTTCTACTGCCTCAGCCACAGTGCTGTGGACGGGGATTTGCAGATAAGTCAGAGAATGCAAGGGGAGCAGAATGGCTTTTTCCCTGCCACAGTTGTTGATATATATTTTTTTAAACTTTGGTGTGATCATAAAAATTAATATGACTGTTATAGAACATTGGCAAGTATAGAAAGAAGTAAAGAAAAAATATTCCACAATTCTGTCATTCCTAGTACATTTGAGAATTCTTTCCAGACTTTTTAAAATTAGCTAATATGAAGTAGAGAGAACATGAACATGGGCTTTATGGTTTGTCAGACTGGATGCTTAACCTTGGGTAAATACTTAATTTCTTTGGGCAGACAAGTTTCCTTGTCTGTAAAGTAGGGATAATCTCTCCTTTGGGGGTGGTGGAGGGTCAAGAGAAGGGGATGAAAAAAACACCAAGCACAGTGCATGTCACATAGTAGGTTCTTGGTCAATGGCACACCCACCCACCCGAGAGCTTATTGTGTGTGCAGTTACAGATCCTGTATTTCTAACTTGTCATGAGCGTTGTTTTCGGTCCTGAAGTCTTTTGTAAACATTTTTAAGGACTGATTCGTTCTCTGTCATTAGAATGTTCCATAATTTAAGAATTCCGTTCTAGTAAAGTGTTAAGGTTGCCTCTAGATTGAGGCTTTTTTCCATGGCCAATTATAATAATAATTTTCGTAGTTAAGAATACCCTAAGTAGCCCTCATCATTAGGAGCTAAGACAAATTAGGTTTTGAACCGCAGCTTAGTGATGACTGAGGCTGTTGCAGAGAATGGGCAAATTGACACGCTGCTGTATTGTGCACTAATAATTGCTGGGTTCAAGTGGAACGCCACTGGGCGTTTCTGGGCATTGACTCAAACGTGCTCTTGGAGCAGAAGCTTCTCTCCTCCTTTGTCCTCTGGTGTTTCAGACCCTCTAGGATATTGGGCATTTGAAGAGCTGTGGCCCCAGCTTTCAGTCAACCCTAGCTCTGCCCTCAGGGAGCTCCTGTTCCCGTGGGGAGACAGACTGAAACCAGTAAAAAGGTAAGGGGCAAGGGGCCTATGTCGTGCAGATGACAGGAGGGTGGCGTCAACCCTCTGGTGAAGGCGTGGGCCCAAGGGCTCAGGAGAGGTCATCCGAGGTCGAGTCTAGAAAGGTAGGCATGGGTTGCTTGGGGGCTTGTATGGAGGGAGGACAGGAGTCTGGACTTAGCCACCAGCATGATCAATGGCTGAGAGGTGGAAAATGGCTCGTAATGTTCTGGGACTTGCTAGAATTGGATTTGGCTGGACATAAGGTGCCACAGGTAGAGGGCTTGGTGTGAGGGGACAGTGGCTGGTCATAGAGGAGCTTGTGTGCCATGTCGTCCTCATCTTGGGTCTCCAGTACCCTACAAGGCCTGACCATGGTGGGCCTTCAGTCTATGGAGGCTGCACACCTTCAGGTAAAACTTTAGCTGAAGTTCTTGACTGTATTTCTCAGGCTGTTTCACAGAGTTCTGCAAGTTGATTCATCTGGGGATGTGTGGACATGATAGTAGATACCCTGGTGCTGGTGATAGGGGAGGCCCAGCTGCCTGAGACAGAAGTGACACCTTGGGAGTAACTGGCTCTGAAACCAGTCCTCTGATTTGTACCTCAGTGTGATTATAGAGGCTCCTAATTGCAGGCACTGAACTCAGCCAGCAAGCTGGCCCGAAGGCACCCCTGGTCTAATCTTCCAGGGTGGGATATGGGCTTTCGTTGGAGGAATTGGCAGCTCAGTGGCAGGCCTGGCACCCACAGGGGTGCTCAGAGTTATCGCAGGCCTGACTCACCTGTGTTCTTGTGCTGTGGCCTTAGTACCACCCGACGTGAGGGGCGCAGAGGTACTGGGAGTAAGGGAGAGGAAATGGAAGGGATGCCAAGATTTGTTGAGTATCTGCTGTAGGCTTGGTGCTATGCAGTGCTTATTATACAGACCTGTCTGTCTTACCGCCCATGACAAGCACTTAGGATAAATGTTGATATCTCCATTTTCCAAAGGAGAGAAAGGAAGCCTGGAGAGCTTAGGTCCCTTCATCAAGATGATACAGAGAGTCTGCAGCACATTGGCACCAGAGCCTGTGCCTGCTCCTTTTCTCAAGCTGTTCCACATCCACCTTCCTTCTAGGGCAGATGGTCTTGGCCATCTCATTGAAACCTTGATGGAGTAGTGCAGTCTGAGGGACAACAGCAGAAGCCGAGGGTCCCAGTCTGATCACTAGCTATGTGATTGTGATCAAGGCACTGCAGCTACCTGGGTCTCAGTCTCCACATCTGCAAAATGGGGAGAAAATTTGATGTGTATGCTGAAGGGGGTTGTTGTGGATATCAGCAGACTGTATGAGTGGGGACCCTATTAGCCCAAGGATCTGCATGGGCATGCATAACAAATGAGGGTGGGTAGTGCTTGAGATGCACGCCCCTCTCTCCCTTCTCCCTTCCCCCTCTCCAAGAAGGGCCTGTAAGTGGAGCCCAAGGGAGAGGTCAGGCTGAGCCTTCCTCTCTAAGAAAATGGGCCCCAGAAGCCACATTGATCAGGGTTTGCTCTCTGTGCTGCTACTTAGTAGTATACATATGGCCTTGAATAAGTCCCTTGTCCTCTTTGAGCCTTGGTTTCCTGTTCATAAAGTGTGAGAAATGCGACCCTGTCGGTATATTGGGCTTAAAAGAGATGCATACGTTTGGTGTTTGTCAGTCAGTGTTGGACCCTGTTTTCACTCTCCAGTAGCTGATGCTCTGGGGGACCACCGTGATGTTGTGTGTGAAGTTGTGTGTCTGCAGCACTCTTCTCATCCAACAACTGCTGGCACGTAGTAGAGACATCATCCACATCCCTTCAGCATGTCTGAACTGAGTGATGCATAGTACGCTTAGCACATGGCATGTCCTCTGCCGGGAGTTGGTGATCAGCTGAGAACAAGGCAGGCTCACTGGGTTGCTGCCATCTGCTGGGGCAGAAGGACGTGGAGCAGCATCATACCCACACACAAATGTGGTTGTGCTATGAAGAAGTGCAGAGGGCCAGGAGCTCATGTAGTGGGTGGCCAGGAAGAGCCTTCCTGAAGCCTTAGACTGAACCTGAAGGATGTGGAGTGTTCAGAAGGAAAGAGGGTGGGCTGGAGTGAATGGTGGAGAGCCCTAGATGTGGGGACTGACAGCTGGTCAGCAAGGCCCAGGCTCAGGGAGTGGGGTATAAAGAGGCTCAGAAAAGGACATTTTCATATTTCTTTAGGGCTTCCTTTGTAGTTAGTGATGCTCCTGGGGCAGCCTGGAGACGTGGAGGAGCTAGACCTGTGCTTTGAGTCCCAGCTCTACCACTTCCCCCTGGGTGTCCTTAAGCCCCTGGTCCTTTCTGAGAGAGTGTTTGTTCATCTGTATCACAGTGGGTGTTAATGAGTATCTCACAAACCAACCTGCTTTGGAAACTGTAGGGTTTTCTCACAGGTATTGAGGGATCATGATGGCTTTATTCCATTAGGATTTGGGGTCACTCAAAAATACATACAGTTTGAAAGGATAAACTAAGTAGCTGGGTCAGAGGAAGATATTTGCAACAAGCCAGAAGCCGGGCTAATGATTAGCTCCCTAAATTGACTCCATGACATATTCCTGAACATTTGCAGAGGTAGGTAGGCTGCAGGATTGACTTTGAATTCTTCCTGGCTGCCAGAGCAAGGAGACCGGATCAGTACTTGATTCATGATGCCCTTAAGGTATCGCTCTGCACTGAGACTGCTTCTGGCAGGGTTATTGATGTGTGTGGTAATGGCTTATGTCTGTCCTGTTCACAGGTCTGCTGGAGGTGCTGGGCAATGAACCTGAGACTGCAGCCCAGAGTGGTCTGAAGCCATTTGGGAAAGCAGAAAGAATCCTGGGGAAGATGGCCATGGCTCCAGGCCCTTCCCTGGCACAGGTGTACACCAGCCCTGTGGCAGTGGCTGTGTGGGAATGGCAGGACGGGCTGGGAACCTGGCACCCCTACAGTGCCACTGTCTGCAGCTACATCGAACAGCAGTTTGTCCAGCAGAAGGGCCAGCGCTTTGGGCTAGGGAGCTTGGCCCACAGTATCCCCTTAGGCCAGGCTGACCCTTCATTGGCCCCTTACATCATCGACCTCCCCAGCTGGACCCAGTTCCGCCAGGACACTGGTAAGACATTTCCTGCCTCTGGTACACAGCTGAGCTCCTGCTTTGGGCCCATGCCATGCTAGGTGTTGGGGTTATGGAGTTGACTCACAGGGCTTCATCCCTGCCTCTGAATTGTATGTAGTTGGGAGGCGGGTGCTGTGAGTGAGAACAGCTACCACACAGGGTGAAATGTACCTTATAGTAGGAGAGGGAACTGCAAGAGCACATTGCAGAGACCATCCCAGCCCCCCTTTTCCCTGTCTCCCGAACCAGAAATGCCTACTTTGACCTGTAGAGATTCAAGGATTTCATTGGCAGGCAGACCACAGAGGTGTTCTCCCAATGTAGTTAAGAGGGTGTGGTGGTGAATTCTGGCTCCAACTGCTCAATAGCTGGGAAGGTTACTTCACTCCTCTGTGCCTTTGCGTTTTTTTTTTTTTTTGGTCTATAACATGTTTTGATCAGTATTGCTTAGAAAGGGACCACCAACTTCTCAGAGCTGTCCCCCTCTCCTGCTCATCTATTGGTTCCCAATTGGAGTGATTTTGTGCCCAAGGATGTTTGACAATGTTTGGAGAAATTTTTGGTTGTCACAAGTTGGGGAGTATGCTACTGGCATCTAGTGGTCAGAGGCCAGGGATGCTGCTAAATATCATACAATGCATAGGACTGGCCCCGCAATAGAGAATTATTGGCCCAGAATGTCACTAGTGCCGAGACTTGAGAGACCCTATTCTGATACTGTTAGCAGCATCCTATAGTCTGTGAAAACTGTGACTCCCAGTCAGTCGGATGCAGATAAAAGTCCCTGCCTTTAAGGTGTGTGCAGTCAACTGAGAAAGATGGCACTCTGGATAAATAATATGGAAATTGTGTGCAGTAGATAGCAATAAGTGCTCATCAGGGAATGGAAGTGTCAGGTGTTGGGAGAGGTCCATTGGAAGTTTGAACTGAGCTGGCCAGGTCGCTGAGAAGGGGATGGAGACAGACTTGATGAAAGGGCAGGAGAGAAGGGCAGGTCATTCAGGGCTTTCTAGTCCCTAGAAGGGACTTGGCTTTTAACCTGAAAGGGAGAGCCACAGGAAGATTTGGGCAGAGGAGTGACATTATCTGATTTAGGGGCTAAGGGTATCCCTTGGCTGCTGTGGATGGAGATAGGGGAGACCAGTCAGAAGGTAGTGCAATAATCTATCTTTTGACAAGTGTTATTGGAAGCGTAGCCCAAACTGACTTTTTTTTTTGTCTCCTTAATCATTAGGTATGGTTTATTGAGAATGTAAGCTAAAAGTAGGGTATTTCCCAGTAGTTGAGATTTGAGAAGTCAGAGGGAACAATACATACGTATAAGGGAATTATGCAACAATAAAGAGTTTACAACATTTTAGAGATACAAGAAATGCTTATGGCATCATACATGAAAGTGGCAGGAAGTGTTTCCAGTCTGATTGGCAGCTACTTAAATACATTTGCGTAGAAGACTCCGTGGGAAGAAATGCACTGCAATATAAATTGTGTACTTTCCTCTTTATAATTTTTGTTCTGAATTTTTTAAAGTGAGGTTATATAGGTTTCATCTTTAGAAATATTATTTTGAAAAGCCTCATCAAGTCTGAGCCATATTCTTTGATCCAAGCTTCTCACATCCTGCCAAGGAGTTTGGGTCCCCTTCTGCCACTGGATCCTTTTGGGCCACAGTTTCTTTGCCTAGAAAATCTCTCCACTTTACCACCAAATCTGGAAAGAATAGCCATTGCCAACCCTTAGATCAGATAGCAGCATGACCTACAGTGGTCATATATATTTGGGTTGTTGGAAAAAGAAGTTGAAAATTCCTGTGTTTTTGAGGGGGTGGATGGCTGGCAGATTAACTGTTTATTTGTAATACTCCTTTTAAAACAGGCACCATGCGGGCTGTGCGGAGGCATCTGTTCCCTCAGCATTCAGCCCCTGGCCGGGGCATTGTCTGGGAGTGGCTGAGTGATGATGGCACCTGGACAGCCTATGAAGCCAGCGTCTGTGACTATCTGGAGCAGCAGGTGGCCAGGGGCAACCAGCTTGTGGACTTGGCTCCCCTGGGGTACAACTACACAGTCAACTACACCACCCACACACAAATCAACAAGACTTCCAGCTTCCGTCGTAGTGTGCGGCGCCAAGCAGGGCCCCCTTACCCCGTGACCACCATCATTGCTCCGCCAGGCCACACTGGAGTTGCCTGCTCTTGCCACCAGTGCCTCAACGGCAGCGGAACTGGCCCTGTGTCAGGCCGCTACCGCCACTCCATGACCAACCTCCCTGCATACCCTGTCCCTCAGCCCCCCCACAGGACCGCCATTGTCTTTGGGGCCCACCAGGCCTTTGCGCCATACAACAAACCCTCGCTCTCTGGGGCTAGGTCTGCACCCAGGCTGAACGCCACCAACCCCTGGGGCGGGGCACCTTCCGCCCTGGGGAACCAGGCCCTCTACCGATCCAGCCTCTCTCACCTGGGACCACAGCACCTGCCCCCAGGATCATCCACCTCCAGTGGAGCAAGGTATCTTGTGTGACTGACTGATGGTCATTCTGTGTGCCCCACGTGCCCTGTCAGCAGGCTGGGGTCTCTGCTTTTACTCAGCAGGGAATACTTACCCAAATACCTGCAGGCTTGGCACCTGCCTCTTGGCTGTCCCTGCTATGTCGTCTCATTTGTACGTGCCATGTGGGTGCTCAGTGCCATGGCCGTCCATAGCCTTGAGTTCTGGTAGTTGCCACACAGGTTAAAGTGACAGTCCTTTCATTCTCATGATTATAGGGCTCTCTGGGTGGAGCACAGTTAAAGAACTTTTGCCTGTGCCTGTGTGCTGTGTGGCTAGTGCTGTACCTGAGGACTATCCATCGGTTCCTGCCATGTGCCAGGTCCTGGAGATGAAGAGATGGAAGCTACGCTTTTACCCCTGAGTCCACAGTCTAGTACAGAGGAGGGCCATGAGCCCCATGTGATGAGAGTGTATGCGGGGGTGGCCACTGGTGCCTAGGTGACACAGCCCCATGCTGGTACAGTCCAGCTCAGAGTGTTTCAGAAAGCTCTCAGCATTCTGAGAAAGATGATGAGATCATAGGCCCAGTCCAGACCAGGCAGTATTTTAAAGTGAGAAAATCCCCTGGATTTGGCCAATAGGCAAGTGCTCCTGGCGTGACTGAACTGGATGACCAGGGGCTTCATCATTCCTCATTATTGAGAGTGTTGGGCTTGAAGAACATTTTGAAAATTATAAGTGGCATCCAGGATTGGGGCTGCTTTCTGAGAATGACCTGGGTGGGTCGTGCCCGAGTGTGTGGGCCTGTGGCTGCCTGGTCCCCCGGAGGAGAATCAGCATCTCTGGCTGCCTGGCTAGTCTGGCCCCACCCTGCCCTCTCCACCATGTTGAGAGCTGAAGATGGCTAAGACTGCCTTGCAGCTGCTTGTGCATCTAGTATGTTTTTCAAACTGAGTTTCAGAGGACCCTGCCAGCTCCTATAGGACACATTATGTGCCAGGCCCTGTTAAGTAGGCTATGCGAGTGATTTCATGGATCCTTGTAATGGCCTTAACATAGGTGGTGTCCTCACTTACAGACAAGCACAGCCAGCTTGTGGCAGGACTGAGACTAAACCCAGACCCCATGAGTGGACTGTGGGACACCTGGGAGTTGTGGAAGCTGTCCTGAGGGCATAGTGATGAGGAAGACATCATGCATCTTGAGGGAGGAGAGAGGAGAGCCTGGGGGACAGGAGGGCGGTGGCCACCTTCAATAGGGGGTCAATGTTTCAGAGAACAGTGTGCTCTGCCTGCCAGCCCAGAGTGGTTATTAGCAGTGCTGGAGCTTCCATGAGGTCAGCTTCGTCTAGTCTCCTGGGGCTGCTTAAGTTCTTGCAAATTAGTTTGAGGCAAATTTCTAGGTAGTGCTAAAACGGGGATTCTGGTCCAGAGTCAAGTGACTTAATGGGGCTTGGTTACTTGCTTCTGGTATGGGGCTCCCATTGGTCTCTCCTAAACCATCTCCCCTCTCATCTTCCCCTGCTTGAGGGCCTGTAGAATTGCTGATGCGGGCCGTACTGGTGCAGGCCAGGCAAGTTCCAGCCCTGCCTTCCCTTTGGTGCTGGGCCATGCCTGTTGCTGCTTGCCCTGCATCTGAGCCAGGAGGGAACCAGGCCAGCTGGATTTGTTCATTGAAACAGCCTCAGAGGGGCCTGCCTTCTGGGGTAGGTGTATATCCCTATTTCCTCCGGCTTTTCTGGAGCTGGGAAGGGTGTAATTCACTTGCATGGGCCTATCCATGCTTTGAAAAACAGGGTTTTCCCATGCCTAATTTGTAGGGCAGCCCTCTCAGTTAACCCCCTTCTGATGGGTTGTAGAGCCAGAGGGGGCTTAATAGATCCCTGACCTCTTAACCCAGCAGGTGGTGGAAGAATTGAAAACACATGGCACCTAGTTCTCCCTAGGGTCTGTGGAAAATTTCTAAGCCAAATGAATGTCAGCAGCAGTAGGTGAAAGTTATTATGTACGTGGAGGATGTGGGGCAGGCGGTGTAGGTCTCAAGACAGTGCCATGCACTGGAGAAGCCCAAGAACCAGCTCTGTTTACTGGTAGCCACTGGAAACACCATTTGAGCAAGTGAAATCAAAATGTTGTGGAACCCCTGTGTTTTTTGCTTGGTTTCATTTTGTTTTTGGAATACATGCGATTTTAAATCGCTTCTTGCTTAGTCTGGGTGCAACATTGGCTGAGTGGTTTCCTTGTGCCCCCTGGGAATAGGCAGCATTACATGGAGAAGGTGTGTCACTTGTGACTGAGCTGCTGGGGTTAAGTAGATTTCCTGGTAGCTGAAGTTTATCCCTGTAAGCACCAAAACTTGTTTTAATGCTGTTGGATGGAAAACTTTCCAAAATGTGTCATGCATGCTCTTGTCTTCTTTAATAGAGGGTGTGACTCCTTATTTAGCATTTTGATGACTTACGTGGTGATTGTGACCAGTAAGTAGCTCAGTGGTATGGTTAAGTACTAAATGGCTCTTCCACTGCTGTGTTCTTGCTGCTGCTGTTCTTGCCTCTGAAAGGACCCTACTTCCTCCTGTCCTCAGCCAGGCTGGTTTGGCTCTTGGTGCCTAAAGGCTTGTGTGATTGGAATCACGAGTTCCCAGTGGGGCCTTGCTCTTGACCTGCTGTAGGCCCTTGGATTGGGTGTGTTCCTTTCCATGTTTCTCTTTTCCTCTCTTGAGATGAGGGAGTTGGACTGGTCAGTTTCTGAGGCTTCCTTTTGCACTAATATTGTGGTTTTCAGGATGTAGTGAGGACTCTGCCCGGAGATGCCTGGTGGCCCTGGGGGCCTGTGCTTACCTCCCTCTGCTCCTCTGAGGCCTGGGTAGCAATGGACATCTGTATTGAGCTTCAGATTGAGCCTCAGCACTGCCCTGGGGGCATTTTGGAATTACCCTCATCTTATAGGTAGAGAAATCAAAGCTCAGAAAAGGGACTGGACATGCCTGGGGGCACACAGCTGTAAATGGGAGCAGGCCCAGAAGCAGGGTCTGCAGCCTCCACAGCTGGTGCTGTCAGAGAGGTCTGGGTCAGTGCTGGCTGACAGCCCGAATCTGACAGTGTGGGCAGTTGGGGAGAGGTTTTTTGTTTCCTTCCTCTCCAGCCTCCTAGCTTTGTCCCTGACCTGGGACTGTAAAATCCTGTCTGCATGGAAGACTGCAAGTCCTCATGTCTCACATTCTCATCTGCCTTTGGAAGCTCCTAGAGATGGTTCCAGATGGCAAAGCCAGGTTGGGGCCTAGTTAGGTAAAGCCAAGAATGGGGGGAGGAGGAGGGGTACCTGAGGCAGTGACTAGATAGAGGGAATTCTGAGAAGGACACTTTGTGGGGCAAAGGGTGCCCTACATTAGGTATGTTCTGTGGGTTTAAGCCCTTTAAGGATGGTAGAGGGGCGGCGATGACCTCTGAAGTCCTGTCCACCCCTGAGAGTTCCCATCTTAGGAACTGCTGGATCCTGGTCCTGCTCAGTTCCTCCTGATCATAGCAGGGACTGTACAGGGGAAGGACGGTGACAAGTAATGAGGGGAAGTGGCAATATTTTGAGAATCTTCTATAGAACTTGGTCCCAGATCCTGGTCTCCAGTCCCAGGGTGAATTGACCATTGGAAGCCTCATTGCGTGTCTGCTTTCTGCTGTAGTCCTTGGCAACAGAAGCTAAAACTGGGCCTTCTCCTTCAGATATATGTCTCTCTCTGGTGAAGGAAGACCCCATTCCCGAGGTTTTTCTGTGGGTTGGGGCAGCCAGGGACGTCATCTCTGGGAAAGGGGAGGTGTGGGCTTAGACCCCCTCTGGCCAGTGATGCCTCCCCCACTTCGTAGCCCACTCACTTTGTACAGTTATAGAGCCAAGCTCTGATTTTCTGGCCTCCTAGTTAAGGGCTCTAGCTAAGGGCTTGAGCTCAGTGCTCTCTGGAACCTCAGAATTGGAAAGACCATCAGAAAAGATATACCTTCCTTTCAAAAAAGTTGATACAGGCTCAGGAAGGGGAGGAGCTTGCTCCAAATTAAACAATGTTCAGTAGAGCCAAGCCCTCAGCCCACGTGTCCAGAGCACCCAACCCTCCCATTGAATTATCAGGGCCCCCCAGGCCCACTTCCATCCTTCTCTGTGGATTGGGAGTAGGGAAGAGGGTAAGAAAATGCTCTTTGGTAGCCTGGCCACACAGGCTGTCCTGCTAGAGGAGAACAATCGAGAAATTCAAACAAAACAGCCTCTTTCTTTGCTCAGGTAAATATTGGAGCACCCGCTGTGCACCAGACCTGTATGAGGTCCTGGCAGCTTCAGCTGTGGCTGGGTGTGAGATTTCCTTGTAGTTTCCACCAGCAGGGTCCATGATCTGGGGCAGTCCCAGAGAAGCCTGGGCTGTGGGTTTGCCGACAGCTAGAAGAGTAGCACAGTAGACTGGAGCCGACCTCGTTTCCCCAGCACCTTCCCTGCTCCTGGGCTGGGCAGGGCACTTTCCTTGTGGGGCGCTCCAGTGTAGGGACTGTGTGGGAGGGTTTTGTAATCTTTGTGCTTCATCTAAAATGAGCAGGGATGGATGGAGGGCCCAGGAATTGGAAGGAGGACAATTCAAAGAGACTGATTTGTCAGAGGAGCTGGCAAGGTCTTGGCCAGCCGCGCCAACTGTCCTCAGTGCAGGGCTCCCTTTCAGACCACAATGGCGTGCATTTGTTTACCAATTTGAAAAACAGGACAACGTAAAATCAAATGGGTGAGGTGAACAGAGCCACTGTGGGGAGCAAAACCCTTACATGAACTACAGACTTTTTTCCATTTTTCACTTGGCTTACAGTACTGTCCTCTTCCTGCCCCAGGATCCCACTTTGCACGCAGTTGTCACTTCCCTCACTCTCCAGGCGAGGACAGTTCTGGTTTGTCTGCATCTTTCATAACCTTGCTGCTTTCAAAGAGGTGCTTTGTCACATGTTCCTTAATTTGGCGTTGTCTGATGTTTTCCCCTGATTGGACTGAGGTAATGCATTTTTGGCAGGAATCCCACAAAAATGCCATTGTGTCCTTCTCAGAGCACTGTGTCACGGGGCTCGTGATACTGACTTGTCCTGTTACTGGTGATGTTGTTCTCCATCAGTTGTTAGGGTGGTTTCTGCCTATTTCTCCTCTGTTCAGGTACTATGAGAATGCTCATTCTGATGACATTATGAGCTCACTTTGAGTTCTTTTAGGATTGTCTTCAGTCTGTGAGTTGCCCAAGTCAGCAAAACGCCAAGGCCCCCTTCACACAATGAAAGCAGGAAGGAGCCCGGGCAGCACCGTTTGCTCATGACTCACCCGGTGTGTTCTCTCACTCTTGTTTCCACTAAGTCAGTGCAACACATAAGCTTTCCTCTCTTTTCTCCCCCAGTGCCTCCTTCCCCAGAGGTCCCTCGAGCAGCCCTGGGAGTGTCCCGGCCACTGTGCCCGTGCAGATGCCAAAGCCCAGCAGGGTCCAGCAAGCGCTCGCAGGTAGGTGCCCTGCTGCTGGGTTCCAGAACAGACTGTGCCCCACAGGACTTGGTGGGGAGGAAACTGTGGGGCAGGTATCTTGTCACCCTCTGGGCCTTCAGGGAAACCCAGAAAGGCTTCTTGGGGTGAGTGTGCCTCTTTCTGGTAATGGTGTGCCTCGGAGAGTGCGGATGGGGTGTCCCCTCCTCTGGCTCTGGGGGAGTTGGGCCTGATGACAGTGGGTCCCCTGGTGGGGACTTTTCACATCTTTTAAAATGTTAGTTCCTATAATTGAAATGAATGATAGTTAAAGAGTCACTTTTCTGTCTGATATGCTTTAAGCATTTCTATAAAGGGGCACTCTGGAGAATTCATAGTACTATTTTGGCTGTATTACATCTTGTCTTTAAAAAGTACTTTTTGGGGCCGGCCCGGTGGCGCACTGCTACAGTACGCCGCTTGGGAGCACGGTAGCGCTCCCTCCGAGGGTTCGGATCCCACATACAGACCGGCCGCTCACTGGCTGAGCGAGGTGCGGGCGCAACACCGAGGGTTGCGATCCTGTTGCCGGTCCTGGTCCGGTACGGGCACAAAACTGAGGGTTGCGATCCATTGCCGGTCACGAAAAAAGACAAAAAGGAAAAAAAAAAAAAGTACTTTTTGTGTCCACCTAGATCTTTTGTCTTTTTTTTTATTATTATTTTTTAATTTTTTTTTTTAAAGATGACCGGTAAGGGGATCTTAACCCTTGACTTGGTGTTGTCAGCACCACGCTCAGCCAGTGAGCGAACCGGCCATCCCTATGTGGGATCCGAACCCGGGGCCTTGGTGTTATCAGCACCGCACTCTCCCGAGTGAGCCACGGGCCGGCCCCACCTAGATCTTTTGTTATCCATACATCTCAGAACTGTTTTTAAGAATCCTTTTTACCGGTGTTGGGGTGCCACTGAGGTTATTTTTTTAACTTATGGGAAATGTAAAGTATACAAAAAGGTAAACAGAACAGTGTTGTGAATATCCATCACTTACAGGTTGATGTAGGGAAATCAGGTAATCAGAGTCTGTTTTAAGTGAGTCTTTGTAGTGGCAGAGGGTGGCCTGAGGGGACAGGCCTGGAGGCAGGGAGGCCCGTGTGCAACCTGACTTCATACCAAGGCCTGGCTCGGTTCTTGGCAGTGGGATGGAGGGGGCACTCAGAGGTAAGAGCTTGTGACTTGGTGGTTGGATTGGTTGTGACAGAGGAGGAGGGACAGTGTGAGGCCCACTGGGTATAGCTATCGATAGTCACTTGCCATCATCATGATAGTTGTTGCTGAAGATTAGGTCAGGACTTGGCATGTGCGTTCATTCGTTTCATCCCTAAATGCTCTGTGAGGTATGGACTTGTATTCCCATTTTACCTTTGGGTAAACTGAGGCTCAGAATTTCAGAATTCTCCGGTGGCCAACCTTTGGCAGAGCTGGGACTCAGCCTCGGCATTCTGGCCTCAGTATCTGGCTCGTCCGCATGTGTTTGGGTGCTCCTGAGTCGGGTGGGAGCATTGGCAGGAGCAGTGACCGTGGGGTAGACGGAGCTGTCCCAGAGGCAGCAGGAATTTGTATGTGCATCCCAGAAGAGCAGTCTGGGGTGGGATGGGGTGCCCTTTGCCCACCATGGGAGTGTGTGAGCCTCCAGAGACAGTGGGCAGGATGCTGGGAAGAGGAGCCCTCAAAGGAAATGGAAGGAACAACTAGAGAGGTGGTAGAAGATGGGGTAGGGGAGACTGAGGGAGCACCCAGGAGGGGAGACCCTGCCCTATGGCCCCTCTCCAGCATGCCGCAGCTGCTCAGCCATCAGCCCTCTGCTGGGGCTGAGAGAAAAGAGTGAGCAAAGATGTGCTGACTGGAGAGTTCCTGCCCAGTTTAGGTCACCTCCTGACATCAGGTGCCACAGGGGAGTCAGACTGTACCGGGCATGCGTGTGTGTTTGTGGTAGCAATGATGTTGGGAAAAGATTGCGGCCTCATGCAGCCCTGCTCCTTCCAGCTCTGGGGCTTTTGTAGGCCCTTGTGTCGTGGCCTGACGGTGGGTTTAGCAGCCTCTCTACATGGATCTCAGTGCGCCCTGGGTACTGTGTAGTACTTGCCCCCGTCCCCCTGCTCTTGAGGCTGAGAGGACCCTCTCTAGGCTGCATCCCAGGTTGTCCTTCATGTCCCCTGTTACCTTGGCTCTCAGAACACTCTTGGAGCTCAGCAGGTATTTTAACCTTCATTTTACTCATGTGGGAAACAGATCCCCAAAGTACAGGAACTTGGTCCCAGCTGGGAAAAGGAGAGACCAGAGCCTGTGGCCAGACTGCCACCTTCCCTAAATTCAAGGCCCAGTGGTTGGTATCTGTTGGTGGGACCGTTGTCTAGAGCACCGGGACATGAGGGGATCCTGGCCAGTCCCCAAGAAGCAAGGGCTGGCGAGTATCTTCTCTTACCCTGGGCCATGGCTATGGATTCAGGAATACACCAGGCTTGGCCACAAGCAGATGAGCATTTGGGCACAGGGTTTTGCAGGTAAGTTTACAATCAGGTGGCCATGTTGTGGAAGGACTAGGTGCTGGAGTAGGTGTGCCTCCAAGTGACAGCTCCCCTGGCTGTGGCCCAGCCCAGCCCTCTCTCCTTTATGGGGTGTTTCCCTACCCTCTGCCCTGTGAGGGAGGAGGTGGCATCTGCAGCAGTTGCCACATCTTACTGCTGCATGCTGCCAGGGGGTGGGTGGGGTGTGTGGTAACAACCTACTCACAACTGGTCAAACAATGAGGGGTGACCCAGGGCTTGAACCCAGGTTGGGGAGGCAACAGTGGAGGGAGGAAGGGCTTGGACCTCAACCTTGGTCACTAGATGAAAGGCTGACCCTTGTTGTCAGAAAGGGGTGTTTGCAAAGTGGGAAATGAGAGTCTGACTGGGAGCTTCACTCTCCAAGGCTCCAACAGATCAAGTGGGAATCCTCAGAGATGAGTGGGGAAAAAGTTCAAGCTTTAAGGTTATTTCGGGGGTGCGAGCAGTTTAGGGGCTGTGCCTGAGCCCTTGCTGTTGAGGAGGGTGCAATGGCCCACTCTTGGTGCCCCCTTATCCGGTCCATGGATGCTGCTTTTGTGAAGTGTCAGGTATGGGGTATTTGTCACACTTTTTCATGGGAAGGTAGATAGACCCATAGAGCAGGGGCTGCCTTCGCTGCAGGCTGCTGAGTTGAGACTTCTGTGTCTGTCACTCGAATTCAGGGGACTGGGTGCTCTGTTGTAAAGGGCAGAAGTGTTTTTCATGCTGGCTGCTTGGGGACTGATGGTGGTGGCCCCAGGGAGGTGTTCGTCCCTTTGCAAACACATACCATACTGTGTGCCTCTTGTGGACCAGGCTCTGCCCTGGGCACTGGAGATACAGCTGTGAGCACAGTCCTCACCTTGGGCACTCGTGCTGAGGGAAAGACTGGCCACAGAAACCAGGGGTAGGAGTAACTTCACGTGGTAAGAGTGCTAAGCAGAGAAACCAAGCAGGAGCTGGAGAAATGGAGAAGAAGTGGCCCTTTTCGATAGGGTGGTCAGGGAGGCCTGCCTGCTGATGTGACACTTGAGGATGGATGTGAGTGCAGTTGGGGGCGGGAAGGGGTGTGTTCCACTCAGAGGATGTGGTCAGTACAAAGCCCTGGGTTCTCTTAAGGAAAACTGCACCTGTTTCTGTTCTCTCCCATCTTTCTGCCAACTGTGCCTGCTTGTCGTTCTGTCCCCCTGACATTTAGTTCCCACAAGAACCACATCTGCACCCAGGAACAACCTTAGGATGTTGGTGGCATTGCATTACAGATGAGCAGAGCCCAGGCTCTCACCTTGGTGTTCTTATGGGCACTTTGGTGTCTCTTGCCAAGTGGCCATGACAGGTCACCCTGTCCGAATTGGCTGTGCTGCCCAGGCCGGTGGCTGGCCTCTTCCCGACTGGGCACAGTTGCCAGGCCAAGAGCCTTTGTTCCCACAGCAGAGGCCACAGACATGGCTGCCCGTCCCCCTCTGAATCCCTGCAGTTGGGGCAGAGCTGTCTGCCCCACCTGTCCTGGAAGGAGAAAGAGGGCCAGGATTGCCACTGACTACTCAGGCACCCTACTGTGCCCAGCCCCAGAGCCAGGTTCTGGTGGGAAGCCACCCTCAGGGGGCAGCATGGGGGAGGGTCCTGCCAAGATGAGTATGGGGTGCCAGGCTGAGGAGCCAGGCCTGCCCTTGCAGTGAGCTCTGGAAAGAGTGGCCTGTCCATTTCAGCACAGCTGCCTGCAACAGGCCTGCCCTTGGCTGAGGGTACCGGAGAGGAAAGCCATAGCCTGGAGCCTTTGCCACTCCAGTGGGCCCCCAGGGGCAGTGTTCCTATTTACCCTGCACCCCAGTGATGTCACTGAAGGCCATGGCACCTAGATAGGCCAGGTGGGGTATGAAAGCAGATAGCACCTGCTGGAGGCAGAGTGACTGGAAGCCAAGAGGGCACGGCCAGTCCCAGAGGCTCTGGGGGCACAGGGAAGACTGAGCCCTGGAAGTTGCTCTGCCTCAGAGACTCTATCTGTGCTTCCGTAGCTTGGCTGCACCCTTCCCCCTCTATTCTCCTTCCCTGTGCCTGGCACGGGGAGATGCCACCCTGAGCTGCTTAGGAGGCTCCCTGGAGTGACGTTCTGCCCTCTGCTATCTTGAAGCAGTGGCCTTGGCCCAGCTGCATGCTCTGGGCACAGGCTTCGGGCGCTTGTGCAGAAACCTGTGGGACTTGGGGCCAGGGCTCCAATGAGCCAGGCCATTTCACCAGCTTCCTGGTTCCTGCCTGGAACTTAGTCTTGCCCGCCTGGGTGGGCCCTGGCAGTCTCCAGAGGCCAGATTCCTGGGGAGATTTGTGAGTCCTGGTGGCCGTTGATGGCACCCCCTCCTTGGACGCAGCAGGGTTTGTTGAGATCATTTGCCGAATGACTCCTTCTAATGTTTCTCCCCCTCTCTGCATGTCTGATCTTGCACCCTGTGTAGGCATGACGAGTATTCTGATGTCAGCCATTGGACTCCCTGTGTGTCTTAGCCGCGCACCCCAGCCCGCCAGCCCTCCCGCCTCCTGTCTGGCCTCTAAAAGTCACAGCTCAGTTAAGAGATTGAGGAAAATGTCCGTGAAAGGTAGTTCCTGCTCACAAATGCTCTCTGGCCTTCGCTAAGCCTCCTCCAAGTCTCGCTGCCTCTGACTCTCCTGCATCCATCGCACCTCTTTTACCTCTAGGTCCTTCCCTACTTGCTGTGCCCCTGCGGGGGATAGGCTCGGTGGCCTTTCTCCCTGCCCTTGCTTGGCTGTAGAGGTGGCCTTACTTTCTGCTCAAGACCCAGGATTCAGCTCCTCTCTTCTGGCATGGTTGGAATGATAGGGGCTTGGCTTTGAGGACCCTGTGACTTTGTAAACACAAATCTGTGGGTGAGGCCTGGCTCCAGATGGGGGACAACTCTGTCCCTCCCACTGGGGCCAATGTGTGTTTCAGGAAAGCCCCCAGACAGCAGCCCAGTCCTGCTGCCCTTGCCTCAGCCCTGTCAGGTCACATCTCTGGGCTACTTGAGCAGGGTGTCCTGATGACCCCTGCCCTGCCTGTCAGTGGCCAGAGAAGAAGGGGTTTCAGAACGACAGAAGGTGCTAGGAGTTTGTGCAAGATTTGTGTGGAGGGGCCTGTGGTAGTAAGTTCTAAACCTTTCTAAAGCTGCTGGTGGCTCTGCCTCCATATCTGAGCCATGGAAACGCAGACTGCCGAAAGCCCAGATGACCTTTGGCATGTGGTGGTGTGCAGGCAGCATAGCGAGACTCTCCCGGCCCAGGTTCAGTCTTGGCTCCAGCCCTTGCTAGCTTTGTGATATGCGCTTTTCTCTGTTTGTGAGGTGGTGCCTCCTGCTTAGCAGGTTGGCTGGTGAGGAGTAGGAAGTAGACACATGGCACATAGTGACAGTGGCAGCCGTAATCGTGTTCACATCTGCTCCTACCCCCACTTCACAGGGGTGAGGGGAACTGGGCCCATGGCGGGGCAGGCTTCGGAGCTCCTGTCCCCCAGCCCAGGGCTCTGCATGCCAATTCTTGCTCTGCTTGGAGGGGGAGACACGTCTGTGGGCAGGGCAGGTGACAGCCTCCTATAGCACTCAGGTGTGCCTAGGAAGAACGCAGGCTCTTGGCAGACCCTCTGTCCTTTCTGGGCTCAGGTGTTTCTTTCATGGCATTGATGGGCACCTGGCCAGCCCTCTGCTAGAAGTGTGCCTTCAGTTCTGAAAGGCTTCCTGGGTGGGGGTGGGGAATAGGATGCTGAGCCCAGCCTCACGAGAGGTGGGCCAGGAGCTATCCTGGCAGATGGGGTCCCAGGGCTCATCTGGAGACTGGCTTGTAGCCACCAGGCTTTTCTAAACAGAAAGGCTCTCCTCAGTCTGAGTGAGGAGTACCAGCTACCTGGATGGCCACCCTGTGCTGGTGGTCATTATTTTAGTCTGGCTTTTGCACCACAGTGACCAGTGTGTATCCTGGAAGTCTCTATGGGTGTGTAGTGTGTGTATAGGTTGTAGGTTGGGGATTGTTTATGTGTATTGGTTTGTGTTGGGTATGTTTGGGTTGTGTGTGGTGTGGGAATGGGTATTTGTGTACTGGGTATGTGTTTATGGGTTTGTATTGCGGGATATATTTGGGTTGTGTGTGGAGGGTATGGGTATGTGTGTACTGGGTATGTATTTCTGTGTGTGGGTTTGTGTTTGGGTTGAGCGTACAGGGTGTGTGTATGTTTGTGGTTTTGTGTTGGGTATGTTTGGGTTGTGTGGGGGGTGGGTATGGGTGCGTGTGTAGGGAGGGTGTGTGTGGTATTCTAGGTAGCTGCCTTTCAGGTAATAGCAGCTAATGCTTTTAGAACAGTTATAGCTTTGTTAGGTATTAGGCTTCCACTTCCACTTTTTAGATGAGGGAATTGAGGCTCAGAGGTGATATGATTTGGTCACAGCAGAAGGGCCAGAATCAAACCCATGTCCTCTAATTCCACCCTCTCCTGTACCAAGCCACCTCCCCGTGTAACTGTCACCTGGCTTTCCATGATCTAGAGAGAGTCTAGCTGCTGAGCCCGCAGGCTTAAAAGTCTTTGCAGCCACAGGCTGATGGCTGTGAGCTTGGGTTCAAACCAGAGCCCCTTCTGATATTGGAGACTAGGACCAGGAGCCCCACAATGAATGACCTTGAAGCAGAAGGGGGAGCCCTACCAGGATGGCTTCTTGGGGGCTGTGCTGGTCTCCCTGGTCCTCCTGTTGCCCACTTTTGCTCCCGCACAGGCTTGGCTGTGATCCTGCTCCTGCCACTGCCTGGGGAACTCCTGGGCTGTACCGATCCTCTCTCTTGCTAGTTGGGGGAGTTTTTTGTCCTTGGGTGGAACCTGTTTGATGCAAGGTTTGGAGTTCGTGGTGGGGCATGGCCTTCCTTGCCCGACCCCCCAGCTTTGCGCACGTGTGCACAGATGGGGGCAGGGTCGGCAGCCAGGTGCTTCCTGCCGCATCTTGGCCACTGCCCAGAGTCGCTCTGCTGAGGAACCGGGTAGGTGTGTGACTGAGACTCCCACAGGCCAGAGACAGGTGGTTTATTGCGACAGCATCCATGCAGGTGTCATCTGCAGTCAGTGTACACACAGATGCCACACACTGTAGGTGCCTGGTACATGCTAGATTCACAACTTCCTTCTCTCAAGGAGATTTTCACACAAGAGTAATGCAAGTTGTGTAAAATAATGCTGCCAGACATCCTCTGGAGTAGTTTGTTCTCGAAGCTGCTGTCTGACTCTCCCAGGCATCCTCAGAAGAGCCTGGGTCTGGTTTCCTGACTGAATGGGCACTGGTACGCGGCTCTCGAGGGTTGGGACATGCGGCTCTGTTTCTGCCCCTTTTCTACTGCCTCCAGGGCTCCCAGGTCTGGCCAGGGCTATGCCTGGCACCAGCTCTGCTGTCTTGCATGCTCACCTCCTCGTCTGCCTCTTCTGCCCTTGCCTCCTGACAGCTTGGACTCTCGCTCACCTTCCTTTCTCTCTGGCATCGCTCTCCGGGTCATGCTCCTTGCAGCACCACTTACGTTCTTCTCTCTTCTAGGAGGGACTCCAAAGCCAGAGCCAGAGCAGGTGATAAAAAACTACACTGAAGAGCTGAAAACACCCCCAGATGAGGTACGTGTCCTGGGAGCCATGCTGCTTTTGTTTTTGTCAGGCAATAAGGGCTCACTCCAGAAGAAAGGGACACCAGCCCGTTCTTTGCCTGAAAGGTACTTACTTCCCAGGTGCCTCTGGCTGCCAGCTGCCACACTCCAGGCACTTTGATTTAATCTCTTGGCCTCCTGTAGGCAGTAGGCATAACCAGGACCAGGTGGCCATGGTTCCTGAGACCCATGTCGTTCTGGTCTTTTCTTTGTCACTAGCAAACTGCGTTCCTGAGCAAAGCTCTTTCTTTCTCTGCCTGAGGCCCTCCTGGGAGACAGGGGTTCCAGAGACAAGAGATAGGCAAGGCTGCCTGCTCCCCACAGGCTGACACTGGTGTGGAAGCACGGCGGCCTTGCCCAGAGGGCAGTTCTGCCCTGCTGGCTGTTGGGAGACCTGGTCAAGGTTCCTGTAGTCAGTGGGGCCTGCCAGACCCATTACGCCTCAGTAGAGCCTGAGTCTGCCTCTGCTGAGCCATGTTTTGGGGTCTACAGTACCACTTTTCTCCAATTGGATGGATAGTCTTGGTGATACTGAGGGATGGGTTCAAGGTCAGGCATACCAGGATAGAACCAAGGACTCTTGTCATTTCTCATGCAAGCTGAGTAGAGATAAGACCCTGGTTAGTAGAGGTTTGGACAGAAGCCGAGAGGTCCTCCTCACCCCTTCCTCAGCCCTCTCCATATTGCCGCTTTCCAGCATTCAGAGCTGTCTTTCTTTTCACTTAACTGGGCTATTTTGCCTCCTCTCCAAGCTCTCCTCCAGGGGTCTCCCTGCTTAACACCCCACAGCAGACTCACAAGATAAAGCTCCTGAGCATGACAGTCAGGACCTTCTGGGCCTCCTGCCCCCATTTACCCCTTACCCCCTGTAGGTGCCTGTGTGCTGTTTAACCTTCTATTTCCTCTGCTTGGAGTGCCCGCTCCTGTGCTTGTCCACCTGACAATTCCTGTCTCCCTCGGAAGACCATCTCCGAGGTCTCTCCCCTGAGGAGCCTACCTAGTCTGTCCTCCCCGTTTGGTTGCTCCTGCTGCTGTCTCGGGGCTGCACTTCTGGGAAGCCCTTTCAGGGCACAGATCCCAGTGACTCAGCTGTTCCCAGCCTTTAGAACAAATGACTACCGAATTGAGTTTGACTGTGATTCAGGCATTTCAGTGGATAAAGGCCCTTTTCCCACAAGACTGGCCTATTTGGGCCCAGCTAGCTGTTGGCGAGCATGTCTGTGTTTGGTCTCCCTCCAGGACTGCATCATCTGTATGGAGAAACTGTCCATGATGTCTGGGTACAGCGACGTGACTGACAGCAGGACCATTGGGCCCGTGGCTGTGGGCCGCCTTGCCAAGTGCAGCCATGCCTTCCACCTGCTGTGCCTGCTGGCCATGTACTGCAATGGGAACAAGGTGCCCACACGGCCAGCTGGGGTGGGGGGCAGCCCTGCAGCAGGATGAGGGGCAGTGGTTGGGGAGGGCAGTGGTCTAGGTGGCAGGTGTGGATCACTCCCCTGGCAAAAGACAGTCATGGGCAGGGAGCTGGCTTGGAGACCTTTCCAAGGGTTCAGCTGGCTCTCCTAGGCCTGCCCCAGGTTTCAGGAAGGGGTACCTATGGGGTGGTTACCCTGACCCCTCTAGCAAGGCCTTGAGACTCCAGGCCCAGGGAGAGATCCTGGGCTCCTCTGAGCAGCAGGCCCTGCCTCCTCCTCTGCTGCTTATAAGCAATTCACATACATGGTCTCACTTCCTTGCAACATCCCTATGAGGTCAGCACTGTGCTGATGAAGGAAAGGCTTAGCAGGGGAACGTGCCCAGGGTCTCCAGCTGGAAGGTGGCAAGCCAGGCTTTGAGGCAGAGCCAACTCTGGGTCCCATGCCACTCTGCACAGGAATCATCCCGCCCAGGCCCTCAGTGGTTGACATTTAGCTGCTCTTCCTTCAGTGGAGTTCACCTGGGACAGACAGGGCTTGGGAGGATAGAGAACCAAGTCACATAACAGCCAGTCAGGTCTGCCCTTGCCTCTCCCCAGTGTCCCTGTGCTGTCCTGTCCTGTCCCAGCTAGGGCACCAGGATTAGCAGATCAGTTGCAGGGTTTTCTGTTTGATTTTAAATATGATTAAAATCATGGAGACCTTTGCTCATAAACCTCATGCCAGAGTCCTGATGTCCCACCCCTTTCATGAAAATTATATAATGAGTTTCTGGTGCAAAACTTATCCTCCTGAGGAGGCTGTTGGAATCCAGTGTGTGAGGGGACTCAGGTGCCCTGCCAGCGGCTTGCTGTGGGACAGCAGCCAGCCTGCTCCCTTGTGGCCTCTCTTCCCAGCTAGAAAGTGGAGGTGACTCTGTCTGGGCACTGTCTCAGGGCTGCCAGCTAGTCTGTTGCATCTGTCTTGTCTCAGGATGGAAGTATGCAGTGTCCTTCCTGCAAAACCATCTACGGAGAGAAAACAGGGACCCAGCCCCAGGGGAAGATGGAGGTGTTCAGGTTCCAGATGTCACTCCCCGGCCATGAGGACTGCGGGACGATACTGATAGTTTACAGCATTCCTCACGGCATCCAGGTAGGGGGGTCCCCTGGCATAAGAGGAGCCTCCTGGGACTTTCCTGGAATCACCTACTCCCAGGCATTCTGCCTAGCTTGCCCCTCTCCAGCAGCCTGACCCCTGGGTCAGGAGGCAAGGATGCCTGCACTGCCCAGCTCAGGCTCCCAGTTCCTCAGGGCCCGGGAGGGATAGGAACCGGAGGCAGTAGTGCTGGGGCTTGAGGCAAGCTCTCAGGGCTGTGGAAGCAAAGAGGTGGCCTTCAACCCTCTTGTGCACCAAGGAAGGTTTCCTGGAGGAAGAGCCATCTTAGCTGAACTTGTACTGGGCAGAAGACAAAGCAGATAAGCAAGAAGAACACTGTGCTGAGGGGCTAGAGAAGTGAGGAGCTCTTGGGCGGGACGTTCATTGAAGAACCCTGCAGGTGGTAGAGTGCAGGGTGGGGAGGGGCTGAGAAGCGGGGCAGGACTCTTGTTCTTGAGAGAGTAGCTAAGTGACCACCTGTAGGCCTGGCTTGGGAGTAGCAGGGCTGGGGCTGGATGTCAGGACCAAGCATGAGTCCCCAGGGTTCCAGCAGAGACCCAGATGGTATCTCTGGCCCTCAGGGTCTTCTGTCTTGGGCCAGGGTTGATCTCAGAGCCAGGGTAGGGAAGAAGACACGGGGCTGTGTGGACCCGAGCAGACCAGTCTGTGGTAGATGGCTTGTCCGTTCATTTTGTTGAACCACATGCCTTTCCCGTGATTTCCCTCTATTTCTCCATGGCTCAGAGGGAAATTTAAAAACATTCCAGATAGTGTTAGCACCTCAGAGCCGAGGGGAACTTGAGTTATATGTGGGTGTGTCCCTGCATGGCAGAGGGCAGGGAGCAAGGTCGCCTGCTGTTCAGCCTCTTCCCCTTCCATCCAGGTCCGCCGCTGTCTCAGGCCCCTGTCCCAGCCACTTCTTAGAGCAAGGCTGTAGCTGACAAGGGGTGGAGGGCATGCGGTGAGTTGTGTGTGCAGTCACGAAGGGAGGCCCTTCCATTGAGGCCAGAAAGGGTTGTGCTCAGAGGCTCCAGCTCTGCCTTTGAAGGGCTCCTGGTGTCATCAGGAAAAGAAAAAGTTAGCAGCAAGTGTCTCATGCCAGGCAGGGTGGCACAGGTTCAAGGGAGGACAGTCACAGGTGGGAGGTCACATTTACAGTGGGTCTTTGAGGTGTTGGGTTTATTTGGTCACTTCAGTGCAGGAAGAGTCCCCAGCCAGGATGGCTAAGGGGTGGGGCTGGGCATCTTCATCCTGCGAGCCCCTGCAGCTGGCAAGGTAGGCCCCTTGGAGCCCTCCCATCCCGTGTCTGTTCCTCCTGCAGGGCCCTGAGCACCCCAACCCTGGGAAGCCATTCACCGCCAGAGGGTTCCCCCGCCAGTGCTACCTTCCAGACAACGCCCAGGGCCGCAAGGTAAAGTCAGGGAGGGTCCTGCCCAGGCAACGAGAGGACGAGGCCCACTGTGGATACAGGGAGCTGGAGTGAGGGGGAGAGGCGGCTTCCAGCAGCCTGTTGGGCCAGGTTATGTGCTCTCTGGAGTCAGGAGAGCGAGATGTGCAAGTAGGGACTGAGGCTGCTTTGGACTGGGTGACCTGAGGAGTCATGTCTGCGCTGAGGCCTGAAGAGTAACTTAGCAGCTGTGAGCAGATTGGGGAAGAGCCTTCCAGGCAGGCAGAGCAGCTGGTGTGGCGGCTTTGAGCTGGTAACAGGTTCGGAGAGTGTGAACCTCATGGGTGAGGGAGCAGGAAGATGGCCTGCCAAGGCCACTCCCAGGCTGCCAGGAGCAGAGCTTCATTCTAACACTGTGAAGCCACATGAGGTGGGGCTGCTGATCGGAGATTTGGACAAGCCCCTCTTCTTGCTGCAGAGAGGATGGGCTCCAGGTGGCCACATGTGGAGGCAGGGAGAGGGCGGGGAGGCCTGGATTCCAGCGAGGGGCAGGACAGGGAGTGCCCGCAAGACAGACTTGGGACGCAGGATGGTGCCTTGAGCCACCAGGATGCCGTTGCAGAGGCAAGGAGAGGAGGGGGGTGTGTGAGCTGGAGCTGAAGCTTGTGTGAGCGCCTATCGGGCTTTCAGGTGGGCAGAGTCCTAAGGTGGGGGTGTCCCCACAGATGGGGCTGAGTTTACCCAGGAAGGTAAGGAGCTGAGAGGAGCGAGGCCCCAGCCAGTGCTTGCTCACGGGCCTCCCTCCTTGTGCTTGTCCTCGGCAGGTCCTGGAGCTCCTGAAGGTGGCCTGGAAAAGGCGACTTATCTTCACAGTTGGGACGTCCAGCACCACGGGCGAGACTGACACTGTGGTGTGGAATGAGATCCACCACAAGACAGAGATGGACCGCAATGTGACTGGCCACGGCTACCCTGACCCCAACTACCTGCAGAATGTGCTGGCCGAGCTGGCTGCCCAGGGGGTGACAGAGGATTGCCTGGAGCAGCAGTGACCTGCCAGCCTCGCCACACTTGCCTTTGCAGCCACCTCATTCCCCCATCGCTGGCAGGGGTACCGCTGGGATGGTCAGGCAGGCAAGAAGGTGCCTTTCCCGAGAGGCTGGGGTGTTTGTCAGTGCATTCCATCAGAGGCTGGGGCTTCTCCTGCCTGCCTTTCCCTGCTTCCTCCTCCCCTCCAGGCATGGATGTGCCTGGGAGTTGGGCAACCCTGGGGAGTTGTACCTGTGGGGGCTTACGATGCAGCTACCTCAGTGCACGGGGCCCTTCTGTCCTCCACAGGGCGCTTTGGGCCCTCAGTGTCCAGGGCCTGGTGTGGGGTGAGTGAAGACTGCTCCACCCCAGCCAGGGCAGCCGTGGGCTCTGGGTCAGCTTCTCATACCTCAGATTTTGTTTGCAATAAATGCTCTACAGCCAAAGTCCGCAGGCCCTGGCGTGTTTGCGGTGAGGGAGGGACACGTGTGTGTGTGTGGAGGCGGCACACATGTCCTGCTGCATCAGAGCAGAAAGGGATCCTACGTGCTGCACATTCAACCCCCACTTGGTAAAGGAAGAACCAGGCTGCGGTGATGGCCGGGAGCCCACAGTGCTTCCCAATGCTGCTGCCTAGTTCTTGCAGTGCTCAGTCCACCAGCTCTGTGCCGGAGCCTGTCAGTCCAGAGCAGCCCCTTACGTTGATTTCCCCAGGGTTCTGGTTTACCAGATGGTGTCCACATAGTGCGAGCGCTGCTGTCTCCATTTTACAGATGAGGAAAGTGAGGCTCAAAGGTGCAGTGACTGGCTCCAGGCCCGAGGCTGGTTAGGTGGTAGGGCTGGGGCTGCAGTCCAGCTAGGGTTGGTCTGTGCCATCCTCAAAGTTCCAATTCTTCTTGACCCTCTTCAAAAGAGGATCGAATACCCTCGTCAAGACCTTGCTGCCTGCCTGGCAGAAGTTCTGGCCTGGGGCAGGAGGGACAAGCAAGGCCATATTATCGCTGTCATGGGCCAGAGGCACTTTTATCTTTGTGAGCCCTTTTCTCTGTTTAAAAAAAATTCTATTTTGCAACACGTTGGTAAAAAAATAAATACATTATTTTCTTCCATCAAAAAGGTCATTTTTTTTCTGATTTTAAAAGAAATGAAAACCTTTTAATGGGCCCCTAAAAGTATTGTGGGCCCAAAGCACAGTGCCTTATGGATAAGTTGGTCCTGGGAAAAGGGCCGTAAGGCTTCAATAGAGAACCCCAGCTTGGTTACACCCTAAACCTGTATGTACCCCATTTGAGACTTGCTTTACTTGTTCACACCGCCTCAGAGCACAGTTGGGGCCACCGCCTGATTGCTGCTGCCTCTTGGCACCCCCAAGAGTCTGTGTGCTTCCCATGAGAGGAGACAGAATCAGGTAAGGAAAAAATATTTGCAAATCACATGCCTGATAAGGGTCTAGTATCCAGAATATATTAAGAAGTCTTAGGGCCGGCCCGGTGGCGCACTGGATAAGTGCGCCGCTTGGGAAGCGTGGCGGCGCTCCCGCCCGAGGGTTCGGATCCCACATACAGACCGGTTCCC